TTATATAGCCACGTATCAATCTGCACAAAGTCTTCTATGATGTTACTCTTCCGTTATTTATTTTGCTGATAAATATACATTCTTTGATCCATAGCTCCAGAAATGGCAGCTGCACTTGTTCCCTCAGCCTTGGAGCTAATAACAAGAGTTGAAGCTGTAGCATCATTGAAAGGGGTGAGGCTGGGGAGAGATTCTAAAAATGAACTCCAAAGGCTTAGGCACAACCTTTTGGCCTTCAATGCTATCCTTGAGGATGCAGAGCAAAAGAGAAGGACCGACAGAGCTATCCAACTTTGGATAGATCCGCTTACAGATGCAGCTTATGACGTGGTGGATGTGTTGGACGAGTGGATCACTACACTCGTGAAGTTGAGAATAAAAGGAGTTGGAAAAACTTCTATTCTGAAGGCTAAGGTAGGCTCCTACATTACCCACTGTTTACATACTGCCCAAGTTGTTAGACGTGATGATCTTGCTTTCAAATTAAAGGAAGTCAGCGACAAGCTAGATGAGATTACCACTGAAATAAATCAGGTCCACTTAATACTAAGTTTAGGGTTTCAACACAGCAGACGGATTGAGAGTACAGCTCTTGTTGATATGTCAGCTATAATTGGTCGAGATGAGGTTAAGGGAGACATTGTAAGCAGTTTGTTGTCTGCATCCACTGAACGACTTAAGACAATTTCTGTTGTTGGCATGGGTGGGGTGGGAAAGACAGCTATAGCTCAACTTGTTTACATGGATGAGGTGGTTAAGCAGTATTTTGATCATAGAATATGGGTTTGTGTCTAAAATGTATTTGACGAGAATGATGTTGCCAAAACAATAATTAAAGAAGTTGAGCATGTTAAAAGATTTGAAGGAGCGGACTCCCTTGATTCATTTCCACTTTCTGCCCTTCTTGGTAGAATTTGTAGATCTATCCACGGAAAGAAATTTTTTCTTGTGTTGGATGATGTGTGGGGAGATGACATGCGACACTGGGAAGGATTAATCCAGACTTTCAAACATGGTGCCCCAGGGAGTAGGATTTTGTTAACTACTCGTAAGGATACGGTGGCAAACATGATGGTGGACTCTCATGTCATTCATTTGGAACCGTTATCTGATGAACAGTGTTGGATGGTGGTTAGTCAAGGCGCATTTTCTGGAAGGGGTGATGAACAGTGTTGGAATTTAGAGGATATTGGGAAGAGAATTTCAAACAAGTGTAAAGGCTCGCCTCTTGCTGCAAAGATTCTAGGAGGCCTCCTAAGATTTAAGAGCCGTAGGGAAGAGTGGGAAAATGTCTTGAACAGTGAAATCTGGGAGTTTGAGATTGCACATCAAGAGCTTTTTGTTTTTCTACTGTTGAGTTATTATGATTTGCCTTTGCAACTGAGAGAATGTTTCAAGTATTGCGCTATTTTCCCAAAAGATTTTGTATTCAATGGAGAAATAATAATATACCAATGGATGGCACAAGGTTAGTTAGGATGGGACAATGGTGAAGATTTAGAATTAAAAGGAAGAGAGTACATTAGCTACTTAGCAGCTTGCTCTTTCTTCCAAGATTTTCTGATGGATAAAGATGGTCTAAAATCAACATGGAAAATGCATGACTTTGTGCATGACTTTGCACAGTTTTTGATGATGAACAATGGAATTGTGATTGAGGTCATGAATCCAGGAGGCAATTCAAGGATAGATTTGCCTTCCACAAAAGCTCGTTATTTGACAGCATTGATAGCAGAGGGGTGTTGTCTTCCTACTTCCGTTTATGGTGCTAAAAAGTTGCATAGCCTCATGATCATTTCTGGAGAGAATGCAATAACCAATGAAGCTGTGCAAATCATTTTTAATCAAGCAAAACGGCTAAGGTTGGTGGATTTTGGTTGCCATAATGCATTAGTGAATACAATTCCAAAAGAAATAGGGAATTTGATCCATTTGAGGCACATTAACTTGAGTGGAAGTACAATAAAAGGATTGCCCAGATCTTCGCGTGACTTACATAATCTTCAATATTTGAATCTCAACAACTGCAAATCTCTTGAGAATTTACCAGATGAGATAGGGAATTTGATCAACTTGATATATCTAGGGACTCTTCATTGCTACAAGTTAGCTTGTTACCCCAAATCAGCTAGGAGATTAACAAATTTGAGGCAATTATGTGGGATCGTGCTTAGGGCTGATAGAAATGATGCTAAGGAATTCGCTCTTGGAGACCTAGAAAACTTGAACTGCCTTCATGAACTTTCCATGGTACTAAAAGGAAATTCAGTAAATGACAGAGAGCTTAAAAGAGCCAAATTTGAAAATAAGCCAGATTTAAAGGAAATCAAGGTGGAGTGACAAGGTACTTCTTTTTTTTTTTTTTTTTTGGTTAAGGTTTTTTATTTTTTAGGTACATGGAATGATGGAATATAAACAAGAATAGATAACTCTTCCTTTTTTTCAAATTTTATTTTCACTGAACTTAAGGTTTGAACATTCAACCTCTAATTAGATTAATCTCAAAATCTTATACAGTTGTCTCTAAGGGTTTTGAATCCATCTCATGGACTTGATACTTGCACTGAGATAAATGGTAGTTAAGATTGGATTGGATTTCATGTGAGGAAAAGAATTTCAAAATCCTATTTCATATTATTACCTTTTTTCATAAAAAATGTTATGATATTATTACTAACTTGTCATTTTAAACTGTCAATTGAGAGGCTGTTTTTTGAAATCCCTTTTTAAATTCTCCTGCGTTCTCCCTTTCCTAAACCATACTCTCTCCAATTAGAGAAAATAACATAATCTAAAAAAGATTTTAAAACTCTAGCCGCATCTCAAATTTCTTACTAAAATAGATTATTTCATCCAAACCCAACCTTAACAATGGACAAAATACTAATTAAGCTACAAGCTAAGTGCTAAACTTTCTTCCTGTCATACACTTATTTCCATTGTTTCTTGATGATCATTATATCACCTATTCAAAATTAACTATGTTACATATATTATGTTTGGACAACAATACTTCATTTCTTATATATATATATATATATATATATATGTATGTATGTATGTATTTATGAAAAAGAATATGTTTGTAGGAAGCATGAGGCAGGATGACAGTCAAGTATGAAGTGCTAGTTCCGTTGGTGAAGAGGAGCATTGTTCTTGCAGAGATCAGAAGCTGCTGGTTAATGTCTCACTACTAGTTTGTTGAATTGAATATAATCTTCTGTGTAATTTTATATTCTAAGATATGCTATGCAACTTGTTATGTGATGATTGTGATCTTTAAGGGTTCTGAATGTTGTTTTTAGAGGAGTGTGAGTAGCTTTCTAGTTGTTCAACGTGATCAAAGGATTGAATATGTTGGGTAGATATGTATATGAATGAAAGTTTCTTGGTACTTGATGAGAAAGCGTTAATGGAGTTCCAATATGCCTTCCTGGAGTGTTGTCTTTGGGCAGAAGATCAATCATGATGATGAGGGGTTCAGTGGCAGTCCCCAAACAGCCAACAATGGCACCATGATGCATATAGGTAAATCAGGCACAAGGGCTAGGATCTCCCTTGTGGCCTTTGAGAGCTAAAAATTCCTCTATTTCATATCCTATTTCTAGTTTATGTTTGTGTCCTTGTTTGTTGCTTTTGCCTGTGTGATGGAGATGTCTCAAGGTGGTTTGAGGGATGTACCATCTTTGGCTGGGTGGTTGATCATAAATTATTGCCAGTAAAGGAAAGCATTGCTAGTCTGGGCTCTCTCTTGGACTGCCTTGGTCTACAGGTTTGGGTTCGTCTTTAGGTTCACCTTGTGGTGGCAACTAAAAGGTTGGATGTCATGGAAATTAGCAAAGACTTTTCAGCAATTCCTTTGGTTATATCTAGCTTCATTTTACCTCGCCGATCTCTGGTTAGTAGGCGTGCCGGTATTCAAGCTAATGAGCTGCTTGGACAGGAGGATGTCCTTCTTGATTCGACCAAGAGACGTTGTCCCCTTACTTATCCGTTTCTGGGTGCAGACTTTATTTTCTCTCCATCTGTTTCCTACTGTTGAATGTTTCTTTTGGGTTCATCTGTGACTCTGTTTTAGCGACCAATTGGTTACTATAGCATCACCTTAGAAGCTATACTCACAAATAATAATAGGCAATACCATTCATAAACAAACGTAAACAATAAAGTACAACAAGCTAATTTAAACTATAAGATTACTAAGGCAATCACTTTAAGCATAATAATAACATGCTACAAAGTAAAAAGATTATCACTGTTAGCATATTGAACAACAGCACGGAAGTCTCTTCTATATTTTCAGCTTCACATTTGGGGCAAAAAGATTAGTCAAGAATCCCACCCTTGACTATGTTGTTGACAGCAAAAAGTGGGTTCAAGCCCAATTAGCTTCATCTCTGTACCACCTCCCCCTCTACAATATTTGGGATGAACAAGTGATTCTGGCCCTGCTACACACGGTATTAGTGACTTAATTGGGCAACTTAATTTAAAACCAATTACATTTTCTCTAAATGAAGGCTGAACACCAAAGAGCAATTTCTAATATGAAGGTTTTTCTATTGGGATTTTAATCACTTAGAGCTTCTAGCACAATAAAATGTAGGCCAAACAGAACGAACATTGTTTAATTATCCTCTATGTGTTTTCTCTTTACATGAACTGAAACAAACTATATATTTTATTATTTTAATA